TATCAAGACAGCTGTACCCAGTGACTGGTGCAAGAAGGAAAACTTTCTCAGTTCTAGTTTGGACACAGATGGGTATTATTAGATCCTGGCCAAAACAAGAAAACAATCAGACAAAAAGCCCAGCACACCCAAATGCTACCGTCAAGAGGAAAGGCTGAGGGAGCCACTTTGAAAGCATGTAGAGATAGCAGTTACGAACCGTGGCTTCTCCTCAGGTAGCAACATCAGCACTAAGTCTAAGGTCTGTGCGGCACAGAAAGAATTATACAGGGGGAAAAAAAAGGAATCAGGACACAGCAAAATACAGACATGCAGAAGGCAGCTTTGCCAGCTCCACCCCAGTCTTCTAAATATCACAGGCTGGCCTACCCAGAGATAAATCACCAGCACAGGTACTTGAGTTCCCACTCCCCTAGATCATTTTCCCCTAGTTGGAAAATGGGTGGGAAAAAATTCTAAGAGTAATGCTATGCAACTTCTGACATTTCCGTATCTCTAAGAGTAAACAGATAAGCCGTTTCTCTAAATAGGACTAAGACATGGCCCTTCTCTGTGATCAAAGGGCACCATACCTGCATTAGCACACTTAACATGATGTAACATCCTGTTTGTTTCTCCTTCATCAGACTCTGTGCTCCTTTAGGGAGGGGACTGTCCTATTTACCTTTATATCCCTAGCACTCTAACAAGGTACAAAAGTCATCTCTCAGTGTGCACTGAATCAATTAATGCACTCGGTATCTATTACCTGGTGGCTAAAATACAGACCGATCCTTAGTAATTAAAAAGTAAGTTATATTCAGGATACAGTATAATACATTGGGCTAAAATAGCCACTTTTATACAAACTCTCTATTGTTCTCTATATAGGAGCTTTTCTTATGTGTTCAGGTGATTGTAGACAGACTTACCAACAGTTCTAGAACCACTGGTCAAAAGAACAGGAGTAAGGCCAAGTGTGATAGCGCACGTCTTCAATACCAGCATTTAGGAGTCGGAGGCAGGTGAATCTCTGAGTTCAAGGTCAGCCTGGTCCACATAGTGGGTTCCAGGTCAGCCAAAACTATATGGTGAGACCATATCTATAAATAAAGAAGCAATCAAGCAAATTCAAACAGAAATCAATGATAGGCGTGTCAAATCAAAGACTCAAAAGAAACAGAGATGACAAGACTCCATTTCAGAGGAATCAAATATATATTCTCTCTCAAATTTCTCCTTTTTCAAGGATTTACCAAATCCACTGAAGGAGCTGATAATTTAGATATGCATATAGAAGAATTAATGGAGATTATTTAGAAACAAACACACGCATAAACACAGATGCACATACTGTTTAACGATCACTTCAAAAACATCACCCTGGGTAAAAATTATAAATGGCTCGTATAACGAAACCATGGACCATCATCATATTAAAATGGGCACACAGAGTGATGGTGGGACACACTCACATTATAATTATGAATCACTTTCACATATCCTATACTTACAAAGTGCTTCATCATCTTTCTGCCAGTGTAGTCAACCCTTACCTGTAGATGCTCCACAGAAAAGGGGAAAAAAGGAAAAAGTTCCAGCCAGGCTGAAAGCTTTCTTGAAGCAAAGACAAGCTTAGGCTGCCAATCCCTGGCTGTCAGTAAGGTGGATAAGTCCCAAATTCAGTACAATCCTCAGACTCGTCTAGAAAGGGTTAAGTTTATTAGAGAAACCTATCTTCCAAAAGTCAGTCTTAAAAAGGTCCTGTGTCATTGTTTTCCCTTCGTGTTACATGTGAGAGTTGATGTGGTGAAATCTAACGGCATTTTGTACATCTCTAATGAAAATAAGTAGGTTACATTCTACTTAGGAAAAGGGAAATCCGGGCTGACCTGACAATGCACTGAACTACTTTAAAAGAAACTACAGTAGCGGCACAAGAAAAAAAAAAAACAATACTACACTGATAAAATAAGATTCTAGCCGGGCGGTGGTGGCGAGCGCCTTTAATCCCAGCACTCGGGAGGCAGAAGCAGGTGGATCTTTGTGAGTTCGAGCTCCCCCCCCCCCCCATTTACAGGGTGAGTTCCAGAACCACCAGGGCTACACAGAGAAACATTGTCTTGACAAAAACAAAAACTATATATACATACATATGTATGTATGTATGTATGTATGTATATATCAATGCCTTACAGATATCATATTCCTGAAACTGTGGGGTCAACTGGGGCAGTCAGATTGCCCCAAGCTCAACAGAATGTATCACGTTGAAAACACAGGCCACCAGAAAATATAACTTATAAAATTTCATTGCGTACACGTTTTTCCCACTACACATGATCTCTGTCAGTTTATTTGTTCAGTATAGGGATTCACTCTGTAGTTTAAGCTGACCTGAACTACGTAGGTAGCCCAGACTAGCCTCTAACTCATGACAATCTTCCTGCCTTACCCTTCTGAGTGATGGGATTACAAGCATGAGCCAGAACACCATGAGCCGGAACACCAGGCTCACGCATGAATTTTTTAAAAGGATAGATCTACCACGTGGCTTCCTATTAATAACATGAGCTGTGGCTGCCTATGAGAAGTATGGGATGTTTCGGCCCTCCTAATCGGTGTTTGGTATAGGAAAATGACATCATAATTTAGCCAGGCATGGAAGAACATGCCAATATCCCCAACACTCTGGAGGTTGAGGAAGAGGAGGCACAAGTTCCCAACGAGGCTGCACTGAAAGACCCCGTCCAGAAAGAAGGAAGGAAGGGAGGGAAGGAAGGAAGAAAAATATTTCCTAAGCTAATAATTTTAAAATAATATGCCCTAACATCTGAAAAGGTGTTTCCACAAAGACTGCTTTTGTCTAGTGACCCAGGATCTTCCTAGGTAGCCGAGGCTGGATCTGAACTAAATATTTTCCTGCCTCCACCTCACAGGTGCCTGGGTTACAGGCTACCACATGGTACTAAAACCTGTCCTAAGACTGAATCCTCTCTTTTAAACCAACGGTACAATTCACTGGGAAAATGCGGGGTAGAAGGTGTCCTGGTAAAGAAAGAAGTTGCACGGATTTTTTATTTTTAAAGAAAGGACTCTAAGAAAATGCATTTAAAAAAAAAATGTACCGAAATTTTCACAGTTTGACAAGACTGGAAGCGTCTAAAAGGTCAGGCTGGAAGCAGGAGAGAGGAAGAGTCAGTCAAGAGCTGCTAGATTTTAAAGCCCGGGGAAATAGGTCTTATCTCTGCGAAGCCGGGAGGCATATCTGTACCTGAGATGCAAAAGCCACTCACTAGTCGCCTAGAGAACTTGCCAGGACTACTTCAATTGCTTTAACCATCACCCAAACCTCCAACGGTTTACAACTGACTAGACAGAAAAGAAGGTGGAAGCCACTGCTTCCGAAGCCTAGCCCTTGTCCAGATGATTCCAGCCCCCCTCCCTCCCCCGGAAAGAAACAAAGACCTGGCGACCAGAGACCCCCCCAAACTGAATTCTTCCGATCAGGAAAATAACGCCGACTTGGCTGTAGCTAGAGAAGTGTCTAGAACTTCTTGCTGGGCTGTCACAGGAGACAGAAAGGTAAACCGCCGCGCAAGGGCTGCGCAAGAAGCAACCAGCAGGACTCCTGCGTTTGGGTTGGGGGCTGGGGGGGGGGGAAGAACGCAACCTTCTTCACACCTCACCAGGCAGAAACCTGGCATCCTCATCCCCCTCTTGCAACCTGACAATTTACAACCTGGCAACGCCTTCTAATTAGGAACGTTCTAAGCCTTTTTATAGCCGAAAACTTTTTAAGTGCTTTCTCACAAGTTAGGGTACACCGAGCGCTGGAGCCTGCTGCTCCAGAGAAGCCTGGAGGTTGGGGGGCGGGGGGGGGGTTGCATCAAACCTCCAGCTTCGGCTGCAGAACCTGATGAGCCAGTGGCTAGGCTTCCCTGCACCTTGGAGAGGGAGGAGCCCACCCTGTCCGGTAGAGTGTGGCCGAGGGGGGGGGGAAAGAGAGAGTAACAGCACAGGCGAGAAGAGCGGCCAAGCAGGGCTAGGACTCAGCGCACCGGCAGACAGGCAGGGGGAGCCCCACGCGGGAGCCAGAGTGCAGGATGCAGAAGCGGGGGGTCCCCCCTTGAGCTGCGCAAGCGGGCTCCCCGGACAACTCTCTCCCCGCAGCGGCGGCGCACGCGCGCGCGC